AATTATTTTTTTGGAACCTCGTAAAAACATTATGAAGAACTGCATATTGATGCAAACCTACTGGTTACTGATATACTTTATAAATTTCAAATGTACCATACTAGCTGCAAATATATAAATGCATCATCCAATCAATCCAATCAAGTGGAGTTCATACTAAAGCATTTTGCATTTTAATGAGGGAGTATAAAAAGGACGATATAGTAGTTTCACTTACAATATTTCCACTGATTATAATATTCCAACCGACAGTATTTGATCCAAAAATAATTAAGCCGATAGTATTTTATCCGAAAAATATTATTGATGAACCATATTTTTGTATAGTTTCAGTACGAATTTAATATTAACGTATTCCTATAAAAACCTTGATATTGAAAATGTATTACCTATGTAGGTTTATTTAGTCATTTAAATATTTCTTACTCTATGATTTGAATCTTGGATGTACTAAAAACTGTTACATAATTATCAAATGACAATTTTCGTAAGTCCGGTGGTCATCAAGTTATCAAGTTTGTATAGAAAAGTTACGTTTATTACGTAAACAATTTTTTTTGAATATATATTATATAACTAGCTATAGTAATTATATATCTATATTAAATTACGAATCTTTAACATTTAGAAAAATGTACCTATGCGTATACAGGCATACAGCAGAATAATCTACTTCACTATACGTATACTACCGACCTATATTCCAACTTAAAACTGTTTAAACATTATTATAAAGATTATAATATTGTGGCTATCTTAATATTTACTTAATAATTTATACCCTATAAAGTATAAACATATACCCCAACTTAACAGCAATTCAGAATAATCTCGGTGGGGCTATATCTTCTAAATAATTGTAGCATATGATTTATAGTTTTGACACTTAGGTACCTAAATATTACAAATATATTGGCGAGAGTGAAGGGAGGCTTGGCTCTCTATAAGCCCCCTCAAAAGATGTGCTTTTTGTTTTATAGGCGATGGGTGTCCAAAAACACCTCAATTTGTTGGCCTCATTTTGTTATTAATGGATTTAATAATCATTAAAGTTTTTTGAAAATTGTTATGTAATATCCAGTTTCCTAACATTTACTTACCTACTTAATAACTAGGTAGATACCAGATACTATAATAGGTTAATGCTACAGAAAAAGTAGATATTATTATTCGTTAATAATTTTTACGTGCAATATTTCTATATTAGACATTTCTAAGTAAAATGTAGTTTAAAGATAAATCGAAAATTATCCTTGTCTTCCGGAACATGTCATGTAGGTACCCTTTTTCATCATAATATGTTTATATCACCATTTTTTATAAATTATAAAAGTTTCAAAACATTTTTACTTTTTTGAGCTATAACTAGGTGTAAATATATCAAAAAAAAAAAAATTGGGAACAGGTCCACTTCCTATTTACCTATTATTTAAAATATATAGGTAGTAGGTACTTTGGTGAGTTTATTCAATATTGTTTATTTATTATTAGTATATATTATTTGCAAACAAAAACAACAGATTTTACAGAATTACTAACTATTACTTTACAAATGATGCATTGTACATTTTGTTCAGTTGTAACTTGTAAGTACCTATATTTAAAAAGAATCTAAGACTCATTCCACGTTCACTGAGTATAAAAGGTTTATTATATTATAAAATTATTCAATATAAAAAAAAAACATTAATATAAAGAAAAAAGTAGGTACATACAATTTATAGTTTATGCTAATAAAATATAATAATATTTAATTATAATCAGGATAAATTATAATAATTTAATTTTAAACATAAAAAAAGGATATTAATAACAAATTTTAAAAATATACAAGAAGAATAATATTCTCAATTAATGTGAGTGGTACCTATATACTATTGTCCTCAATTCCTCATAATGAATATCATATGGCACATTTGTTCCTTGTCAGTTGAGCTATAAGATTTGACCACTTACAGTATATAAATAAAACAAAATTCTGAACTGGCAAATATATTTAGGTATACATTGGTTATTTGTTATACTTTATCAAATAGTTAATGTTTATTATATCATGCTTTCCTAAGTAGGTACAGTTTTATTTTTTAGATTCTGAGACCTGAGGGGAGTGAAATAATATACCTATTGGTTTTACAATGTCTTTTTATTTGTCTGTCAGCAACATTTTTGGTACTAAAAATGCATATTTTCAGCATTATATTATTTTATTATTTAGCGTATTTTCGAATAGAAAAGTAAATCTAGTTGGTTCTTCTGGGAGGTAAAAATTCCAAGTAATTTAAGAAAGTTTTAAAAGAAAAGATAATATAATTACACAAAACCAATTTTTGAAAATATCGATTTAGTTTTTTTGGTGTAACTCAATATCCAATAACAGTACACTTGAAATTTTCACCAAATATTTATATTAGCGTTTAATATAGGTAAATCGTGACATTTTCGAAATATTTTGACTCTTTTAGAGCTAGTTAAAGCCTTGAGAAATTTTTCGAATTTCGTAAATTGTTTTTCTATTATTCTCGATAAAAACTAAAAATTGACAAAATTCATAAACATTTAGAACATTTTCAAACTATTTTTCAGTTCATTTCAGTTCATAAAAGTTATTTATTTCATAGCTAACATTAGACACTTCAACAGAAGGTTCCCAACAAGTTTTACTACCTCTATCAAAAATAAAAAGCTCAGTGGAATGTTACGCTATTTATAGCCCATGAGATATTTCCGATTTTTATTAATTTTTATTTTAACTATTAAATTTGATTACTTATACAACTAGGTACGCTTGGCTGATACAACGTCTCCGGTCAGAATCGTTTTTCGTACACAATGATTTATCATTGAATTCAAATATAACACATCCGACATCCATCCATTACAATGACATGATGCTGATCATCATTACAATTAATACACCTTTTTAACATTTCAGTTGTTCTTTGCCATTATCTCAGTTTACCTCAGTTATATGCTTGTAATAATTTAATGTATTAATTCATGCAAATTGGTAATAAATCATCAATTTGAGTAACATTGAATAGGTAATTTTTTATCATCTTAATCAAAATTTAGCAATAGAATATTATAAACATAATAATAATAATATATATATATATATACTATAATATTATATATTAGTATATACGCCCACTATAATATGAATATAGTTTGTGGTAGGTATATCGTATATATTAATATATTACCTATAATTAATGATACCAGTGCAACATAATTTATAATATTATTATAATATAAGCATATATTCAATATTCATCACTTCATCAGTGAAATATTTACATATTCTATTAGTAGGTACGTAATCACTTATCTAGTACCTATTCCAATTTCAAAACCTATAATATGGGAATATACAACTTAAATACTTATTCTTATAATAATCATCTAACCAAAATTATTTCGGGACACTTATCAAAAAACATGTCCACAGTTGAAAATTATTTATTTCGTTGGGTATTTTTTAAGTAAATTTATGACGGTAACTCAGACCATTTGTATTCTGAATATATTCAGAGCAGTGGCGTACTTCGCATTTTTTTAGAAAGTGACAAAAATTTTGGCATACATAGCCCGACAGCCATGGAGGGCTACAATAATTATATAATAATACATGTATTTAAAGAGCCATGCTAGCGGATCTGTCCCGAGATCCACCCCTATAAATATGCCCCTGATTCAGGGACTAGCACATATATATTTAGTACCTATTTCGTTTACTTGATCACAAACAAAATTAAAAACACGAATTTTCAATATTTTCCATATAATCTGTGACCTGTGGTTATATCACAGAACCATAACGGCATAACGGCTAGATCCAAAAAACGTTTCACATTCAATTTAAAAGGAGAAATTATGCACTTGTCTCGCCTTTAAATAGATAAAAAAAATTAGCTAATGATTTCTAGGTTGATTTATTTAATTTGCATGCTTTTGATGGATTTTGAGATTATATTACCCATTATACATAGTATTATATAATATACTAGCTGCCCGATCTTCCTCCGGAAGAAATTATTTTTTTATAATTTAATTTAAAAACATAAGCCTATTTTTTGGCTATACAAATAATACAATATAATTACATATTGTAGTTATTGTTATTGCTAATTTCTGAAAATTATATTTCCTACATTTAGAATTCAACCACTGGAGTGGTACATTTTATTCTTTTTATTATAGAATAGAGATAAGGCAGAAAAAAATGTAACAATAAATTATTTGTTCAATGTATAATATACATATATATTTCAAATGGAAAAATGCAAGTGCAAACAAATAAATAATTAATAATCATAATAACAATAATAAATACAGTGTGATTCCTTTTAAAGGTAACACTAAATAATTCTGTCCAGTGACATCGGATTAATATGCGGTTTTCGGGAGGGGATAGGGAATATACATATAAATACAAATTTCTTGATGATTTTTACATTTTTCGATCTTTCCAGGTTTAGTAATTCAGCACTTATTTTATCATCGACATCATTTGGTCTAATTTTATCAACTAACCAAACCAGTAAGGCAGTAAATGAACATGAGGAAGACCCTAAATAATGAATAATTATACGTAGAAAAATAATAATAATTAAATAATACTATTCATTTATTACCACTTTTTTGCCACTCAACAGTAGGTATACATATAACACTGAGTTTCATCAAATATCCGATGTTTCACAATTAAGTTCATTAGAACTTTAATTTTTTGATGAAAAACTCTAGCGATAATGTCGTGTCTGTCTTGTGTAGTTTGACCATGTTTGAGTTCTCTTTTTATTTCCATCCAATTTGGATTACATGTAAATGTAATGAACAAATTTGGTGTCCCAAAATTACGAACGTAAGTCATGGCATCCATAGTTTTTTCGTGCATGTATCTAATAATTAATAGTATGTACAATATTTTAGATTGTTAAAATTAATATTACAGTACATTTTTCGTAGCAATTTTAAGTTATAAGATACAAAATATTTTATTACCTTGGACCTCCTGTAAATGAAGAAGGTAAAATAAAAAGTTGTCCAATGTCATTCACTTGACCATCATTTTCTATAGCATCACGTAAATGAATATAATCTTCCGCTCTTAATTTTGATTGATTATTCCGTATAAATAAAAGCCGTTCTGATTCTATTTTGGCATACATATCAACCTTAAAAAAAAATTACATTCTTTTTGTATTATTATAATGTTTATACATGTTTTTGATTAAGTTGAAAAAATATTGTTTACTTACCCAATATTTATTAATAAGTTTTCTATAATTATGTAAATGATTGTAGATATGATGCCTCACCATCAGTCTATAATGTTTTGAAGAAACAGTTTTATGACTATTGTATTCATTTAAATTAACATTAAATGACAAAATATCAATAGCATAACCATCTTCACCGTGTAGAAATATCAGTGGATTGTAGAGGATTGTAGTGGATTCTAGAGAATCATAAGACCTTAAAAACACATAAGTAAAAATTAAGAAAAAATGTACAGTGTATACACTTTAAAAGGAATTTACCTATGAGTTTCACTTATTCGTTGTAACTTTACGTCTTTTCTAGATAAAATTATATCGCGATTTCCATATTCTTCTCCAATCATTACTACAGCCATTCCTACTTGAGATGGTGCATTAAATCTACCTCTATGTTGACCTTGAGGAACCATATTTGCATTTATGACTAATCGGTATTGATCAGTGGGCATAATATGATCCAATGCAGTTTTGAACTTAGTAATTAAAGGATTGATATTATGTAACAATAATTGCAAATCTCTTATAATATCTAAATGTATAAATATATAAATTAAAACGTTTTAAACAACAAATATATTATACAATACAATTACCTTTATTCAATCCACTGCAAATACCCATTCGCACATCAATTTGTTCCTCTTAGTCATCCATAAAATAAACTTGTAAATATTTATGATTTGTATTTGGTAAAGGCATCCACGACCCGGCTAAATGATACACTTGACTTCTTATTTTAAATGTAGGCATATCATTTTCGACAATAGTTTCTGCTGCTTCAAATGAGGTCATATGAAATGCATTGTTATATTTATTAATATTTTCTAAAAAGTGTTCTGAAATACTTGTTGAACTTTCCAAAAGAGTTTTCATTGGTTCTGGTGGTTCATCGATATTAGGAATACAAACAGTTCCATTTAAACAACACATACACATACCAGCAGATTCTCCTTTAATTAAGAAAATAATATAAAACGTTTTCAAAATTTTAAAAATGTATACACTAATAAACTACCTTTGAATTTCATTGCATTGCAATATTGACAAATTACATCCATTACACCGATACAAACATCATCGTCGTCATAATATGGATGCTTAGAGGTTGATATAAATAGGCAGACCGGAATTTTACCCACTTGAACGGTATATCACCTAAAGTATATGCATTTATAATAATAAATAGTAGTGAAACATAGGCGAAGTATAATAAACAGATATATTATTTAATAATGTATATATACCACATACCAAATAATGTGGGTTCAACATTTGGTCTTAACCTCTTACGCTGTGTAGTAAAAAACATATTGGTTTCAAAGCGACAATTGCACACTCTAAAGTTTTTATTATTCGTACGAATATTGTTTTCGCGTTCCAATAAATCGGTCCTGTTGCAACTATTAAGCCATTGTATTAACCTATAAAATATATTTAAATCATTAGGTGGGACGTGGGTACACTTTATAGAATTATTAATTACAATTATCAAGTATTAGGTGTTATTAAATACCTCCCTCCTCCATTTTGAATTGCATACGATGGAATTGCCTGAATGCAATTTGAACGAAGTTCACAATTATTATTATTATTATTATTGAAATAATATATTTAATTAACACTTGAGAAAAAAATTAGATCTGTTAGTAATGCTATACAACAAACGACTGAACGATTGGAGTTAGAAATGTCGATCTCTTCGATCGAATAAATAAGGGAGCGCGCATGCGTATTAAAAACTTTATTTATTATTTTTTTTTATTACCTTTGTACATTATTATAGGTCAACGATTATAAAATAAACAAAAAAAAGAAAAAGACATCGTTATCGGTGAATATATGAAAATAATTGGTAATTAGTTAATTATTATTATTATTATTTTTATGAGGGTTCAAAACCGGTTTCCTTCGTCTCCAAAATCAAGTTAGATTCTTATATATATAGATTATATTATTTTTTCATTTAATATTTTGATTATTTAGTATTTTTTTATTATGATTATTATTATTCTATCAAGATATTATTATTTGAATTATTATCTTAGATATTTTAGATTCTGAGTGAAACGATGAATGTATTGATTTTACAATGATGTGTGTTTTTTTATTTTTTTTTGTGTCTGTGTACACGATAAGTAGTCGAAATAATGCTTCGATTTTCGACTTCAGTATCTTGTTCGATTGGAAAGTGAATATCGTTGGTGCATTGGGGAGGTCAAAATTTAAAATTCCCAGTACTTTTCAAAAGCGCCAAGAAAAACAAAAGAAAAATGAAGGAAAAACGAGAATTTTTATGCAAAATCGATTTTTTAGAAAATTGAATTTGGTTTTTGGTGTAACTTTAAAACAAATGACCGTAGATACATGAAATTTTCACTGGTTGTTTATATTTGCATTTTCTATACACGATAACATTTTCAAAATATTTTGATTTATTTTGAACTGTTTAGGGACATTTTCATTTTTCATTTTTTTTTAGTTTTTTTTCTAGAAATATCAATAAAATTTTATTTGTTGGTTAAAAAAACTTGAAAATTTAATAGAAGGCTCCTAGTATATTGTTTCAAAGACAGATGAAAAATATTAAAAATCGTTACTCACAGTTTTTTTTTATAAGCATTTAAAGTTCAAAAATTGACAAAATATGGAAAAATCACGAAAATTAGCAAATTATTTTGAGTTAAGAATTCGTAAAAATTTTGCTTTTTTAAATCTAAGATTTGAAAATGTAATACAAGATTACTCATAAGTTTGTCTACCTTTATCAATAAAAAAATCTCTACCGGACAGTCAAATTAAATTTTTATGAGCGTTTGAAATTCAAATTTTTACAACATTGGATGTTCACTCTATTTCTCATTCAGCGATTTCCTTATTTTGTTGTTATTCATAAACGAATAACTGTAGATACATGAAAATTTCACTGAATGTTTATATTAGCATTTCCTATACACCATACGATTTTGAAAATATTTTGACTCTTTTTGAGCTGTTTACGGACATTTTCATTTTTAAATTTTTTTAGGTTTTTTTCTATGAATATCAATAAAGTTTTATCTGTTGGGCTAAAAAGTGTAAAAATTTAATACAAGGCTCCTGATATATTGTTACAATATCAGTTGAAAAATATTAAAAATACATAGGCACAATTTTTTTTTATAAGCATTTAAACATCGAATTTTGACAGAATTTTTCAAAATCTCGAAAATTAATAAATTATAAAATTTTCAGTTTTTTACGGACATTTTCAGTTTTCAATTTTTTTGGTTTTTTTTTCTATAAATATCAATTAAGTTTTATCTGTTGGGCCAAAAAGTGTAAAAATTTAATACAAGGCTCCTGATATATTGTTACAATATCAGTTGAAAAATATTAAAAATACATAGGCACAATTTTTTTTTATAAGCATTTTAACATCGAATTTTGACAGAATTTTTCAAAATCTCGAAAATTATTAATCATCGTAATTAATAAATTATAAAATGTTCAGTTTTTATAGCTAAGGATTGAAAATTTAAAACAAGATTCCACGTAAGTAGTTAATTCTCTTACCGAAAAATCTAAAAAATATACAATCACAGTTTATTTTTATAGTCATTTTATGTTCAAATTTTGACGAAATTACATATTAAAAAACCTAGTTATTTTGTTGTGATTATATAATATTATTCGTGGGTACCTACTTGAAACTTCTAAAGTGTACTATTATATATCTATGCTAGTATCAGGGTTTGTTATTGATGTTGATGTATAACGTGTTATAACTTATAAGTACCTAATGGATATTGTGATAATGTGATATGATTAATTTGGAATTTATTATGGGTCAATATTTTTTTAATACCATAGATATGTATATAATTTGTCTTAACCTAGACTGACATACCGTCTTCGCTCAGAATCGTTTTTCTTATACAATGATATTGTATCATTGAATTCAAATTTAATAGCATCTATGATACAGTGACCCACTTGTAACCTACTGTACAGCAGAGCGACTTCCACTTACCCACCTTTTTATTATTATATTAATATATTATATTATTTGTATTATTATTTTATAATTCTCTTATTTGTTTTTGTGTTTATATTACTGTCATTACAGTCTACTAAATAGATTTAAGTTTACTAATGTAATAACTAATAACTATTAATTTGTTATTGGAATCACCCCGTTTAAATTTAAATAAATAAATAACATTAATAATATTATCAAATTAGGTAATATCAATTGATATTACAGTTTACCAATAATAATAATATCGGAGTAGTTTGATCTACCAATGGAACATGGCGGGAGAAGAATTATAATGAAGAAATATCATCCCTCAGATCATTAAGGAAGGTACCACGTAAATCTACAACGAATGCGATGCAAATACGAGAAGTAATGCAATACTGTATTAATGAAAGAAATTTTATTTGGCAAGAAGAATATGCATAATCTAAATATTTTAAAAATGTAATTATTAGTTATTTTACAAAATTTTACTGAAATATTTCAATATTAAAAATGAATTACTCATTTCATAAATTGTTTATGTAATTTACTCTAATATTAAACTGCTAAACTGCTCAAACTTAAAACCACTGAAAACTAGGGGTCAAAGATAGTGTAGTAAACCGACGGAGTCACTTTACTATATTATTTTAAATATATCATAAGTATATATTATTGTTATTACATAACAATAAACATTAAAATAAATCACATAGGTAACTATTCGAAAACCAACTATTATTCGAGGACCGTGAGGATAACAAGATTTATCTGTGTCCGATAAAACCCTTTCGCTAAAAAGTGAGAAAACAAAACTTATATATCATAAAATAATATAGAAATTTCCAAATGTCACACATTTACATTTTGGCAATAACAACACCTATACCAGGACCTACTATCCACCTCCTAGACTCTGTCATCTATTAAGTCACATCGATTTTATATTTATAAATTCAAGACTAGGTCCATAGCAAATTTAGAATTAGTCTACCTCACATACTTGTACTACTTGGTTGGTCGTGGAGGTGGAGCAAGACCTCCACATATCCGCCAGTCCATTCCCAGTATTTTTAAATAGTTGCAACAAACTAATTTCTAGGGTTATACATTTAACTCAAATGAATACTTTTAAACGTAATAAACTACTTATACTTATTTACTGTGTCACTTGTCACTTTATAACCTCTCCTTTGAAAAATCTTTTCAACATAACGTCGTCGAACTCAAATTTACAAGCTTTAGTGAGAGATCACTACAATAGGGTCAAGATTTAAAATGAAATATAAAGCTTATACAATTTGTTTACGTCTAGTATACGCATTATAATAGACGTAAGTATATAATAATAATATTTTATTTTTAAATTCACAATACGATACAAGTTTTAACGCACTATAACGCTTTAAG